CAGGCTGCGCCAAGCTTCCTCACAGAGACAGGTCGCGGAGAAGTTCTTTATCTCCGGAGGCACGCTGGACTGTAGCCATCGTGTGCGTCAAAGGAAGAGTGTTACTGGACCCACAAGGCAGTTATAGTCTGCTTTCTCATCTCGAACTTAGCAGGATTCTTTCTGAAGTTGGAAGTGTTCTGGAAGTTGAAGCTTTACCCAAGTCTGAGTTCAGTGCTCCCCCCTACGTGACTCGTTCTCTGAATTAGCATCTTAGCATTGCCGCTGTATGGCCATGGGGGTCTGTTGCCCGTGTGTCTCCGTCACTACATTAAGCTCTGAGGTAGGGACTGTGACTCTCTTTGTCGCTGATTTCCCAGTACCCAGCACAGTGCCAGACATAGCAGGTGATTGGTATTAAATATGTACCCAAATAAATTGAGTATTTGCATGACACCTTTCAGCAACTTACCGTCTGATCCACATGCTGTTCGTTACAAAAAGCTGTGCTAAAGAGATCGCACTGTTTAATCCCAAAAAAGAAAGGAGGACCTTCCAGCTTCAAGATGGCAGCATAAGATTTCCTCTTGAGAATCACACCAGGACGCAGAAACAGAAGGAAGAGCTGCCACAACAATGCATCTCCCATGAACAGAAGAATCTGTAACCCCTAACTCCAATGTAACAAAACAAAAACACCAGAGAAACGTAAATGGCCCAGCAGCAAGGAAGCAAGTCAAACTCAAGCCGGGCAGGGGGGTGGAAGAGCCCACAAGCTATTTAGCAGAACCCAGACAAGACTCAGACACGAGGCGCAGCTCTCAACGTCAAGATAGAGTTGACAGAAATCGAAAACAGGAATTGTTTTATAAAATCTCTCTTTAAAGAATACACAGATTTTTGAAACCAGAAGGAAAGGACAGAAAAAAATAAAGAATACAACACATCTACCAACTGACAGAGTCAGGAATAAAATGTGCTAACAACAAAGGTTGGCGTGGATGCGGAGAGACAGGAACACGCATACACTGCTGGTGGGACTACAAACTGGTACAACCTCTGTGAAAGTATATGGAGATCACTCAAGAACTAAAATAGAACTACCATTTGCAGTCCAAGCAATCCCACTACTGGGTATTTACCCAAAGGAAAAAAACATATTTCTACTAAAAAGAATCTGCACTCAAATGTTCATAAGCAGCAAATCAAATTGAAATGATGTGGAAACAACCCCAAGTGTCCATCAATACATGAGGTGATGTAATAAAATGTGGTGCATATATACCATGGAGTACTACTCAGCCATAAAAATGGTGCACCAATACCTCTTATAGTATCCTGGATGGAGCTGGGCCCATTCTTCTAAGTGAAGTAATCCACAAGAATGGAAAACAAGCCACCACATGTATTCACCAGTTAAATTGGAACTAATCGATCAAGCCATTCATTGGGTGTCGGCATGGTTGGGAGGAGGAGACGGAGGGGATGGTACAATTCCACACTAAAGAAGGCGTGTTGCCTATCTCAGGATGGGCCTGCTTGTAGCTCTAACTTTTGCAGTGCAAGGCATATATGTAACAAAGCATTGACTCCCCCATAATATTCTGAAATTTTTTTAAAGTGCCTATCCACGCAAAAGATTATTATTCAGCAATAAAAAGAAATGAATTTGATACATGCTACAATAGATGAGCTTTGAAGCACTACTGCTAACGTCAGAAGAAGCCAATCCACAAAGGCCACAATTCTGTATGTCCATTCTATGAATGTCCCAGGAAAGGCAAATCAAACAGACAGAAGTGTATCAGTGCTGCCAGGGGCTAGGGGAGGCTGGGGGTGAGGGTACCTGCTAATTGGTACAGGATTTTTCTTTGGGTGATGAAATGTTTCTGGAATTAGTGGTGATGCATCATTATAAATATACTAAAGCAACTGAATTGCACAGTTTAAAGAGGTGCATTTTACTGGTAAGTGAATATATCTCAATTTAAAGAAAAAGGTACACAGGAGCTTCCAATCAGCTTCGTTCTGATTTAAATATAAGCTGGAAACAGCAGATCACAGAATCTTGAATAATGATCTCCACCATAGATCAGAACATACCAGAACATCAGAGAACACAGAGATAATAATGCAGGACTCAGAAGAAAACATCCAAAGAATTATAATTAGTCATCCTCTGAGTGGTAAGAGAACATATTGCTCTCTGAAAAGGAAAAAGCCAAAAAACAAGAAATTTATTCACAATAACATTTTTTTGTTTAATTATTGCTGAAATAAGCAGGCCTTCAGATAAAAGAAAAAGGATATTTAAAATAAAAGATATAAAATAATAATAATATATCCTCTGAAATAACCTGCTACCTCAAATTAGGAAATCAAAGAGATGGGCAATAGGTGAGAAAAGATTAAAAGAATAGAAATCAAATTCAGGAAGCGCTAAGCATGGAAAATCCAAGAAATAGGAGTGTCCAAAAAAGTGAAGAGCAGTAAAATGGTTAAAATGGGAAATTATCACAAAAAACGAGTATAAGGAAAAGTTCAGCAGAATTATAGAATATATTATATTACATAGCGATTACCCATATATCATACTATGTTCAGGATTTTAAAACGCCCTCAAACACAATGATCCAAATACGCTATACCCAAAGGAACGATGATTCAGAAATTCCAGAACAGCAATATATTGAAAAGATACTTAAAGCACTCTACAGAGAAAAAACCCACATGTACATACAAAAAGATCAAATAAAATGGTAACAACTTCACAACACGCTACCGAGAAAATGGGAAAAATAACTTTCAAAATCTATGGAAGAAATTGAATTTCGATAGCCTCTATACTCCAGAAGACTATAAACTCAAGTAAAAGTAAAACCTAGAAACATTTACACATGCAAGATCTCATAGAATTTAGCCATTTGTTACAGCCTTCTGAGTAAAATTAGTGGAATAGTCTCTGAATACCACAAGGAATAGCAAGAATCAAAAAAAAGGGGCCAGGCCGACAGTGGCTGATGGCCCTGGTAATCTAGCACGCTGCTGGGTTAGGCTGAGGTGAGAGATTGCTTGAGTTAGGTGAGTTCGAAAACGAGCCTGAGCAAGAGCCATAAACGTCGCATCTCTACTCAAAAATAGGACAAAGAAATTTTCCAGGCATGGGGTGGCATAGCGCCCTTATAGTCCTGGCTACTCAGAGGCTAAAGGCACGAAGATCGCTTAGCCCAGGAGTCGAGATTGTTAGGTCGAGCCTTATGATCACTGAGCAGCTGCACTCCTAGCTTGGGAAAGCAGAGAGAGACTGCTGTCAATAAAAAAAAAAAAAAAAGAAAAAGAAAGAGAAAGAAAAGAAAAACGATAAGAGAGAAGGCAAATGATTTCCCAGGAAAGAGGGGAATGGAATACCAGATAACCAACAGCTTTACAGAAATCTTAAAGAGCAGAGGAATGGAGCTTCAAGAAAAACACTGACTGATATGTTATCTAATGGGTTTGGCCACATAGAAAATATGAATAAAGATTCATGAGCCGTTGACAAGTGGGCATCCAAGTCAAATATTCAAAGACAGCTAAACAAACAGAAAATTGCACAAGAAAAGGAAATGTACATCACAGAAGACTATCAGATTCAACAGTGAACAATGTTGAACCATTATTATTAGAAAGTCATAATAATGTAAATACTGAATAAGGATTTTATAAAATAATAAGATAACTTCTATCAGAAGGAAAGACAAAGGAGAAAGTATAGGTAGCTAAAATCTCATCTGGTCATTGGAAAACAAACAGTAATGGTCACAATCGATGAATGCAGGTGATAGCGTTAATATCCGTATTTTCAGAAATATTGAAGTAATGCCAAAATAAATAGTTCAAATGCATTGAAAGATGCTGTTTCTGGCGCTGGCAATCATGATTGGTTGGAGAGCTAGGGGAATAGGAAAGATAATTTGGACAAATTTTTAAGTTGTTTAAGTTGTCTTCTAGCCGAAGACAGAGTGCTTTGAAGTCGAGACATAGTTTAACCTGGATGCTGCCACTTCCAGTGGGTGACGCTTGAGGGGATTTTTCCCCTTCTCAGGCCTCCGTTTCTTCCCTGTTAACAATCCTCCTGGCTGGTGGCATGGCCAAGGACGCAGGTGCATGGCAGGGTCTGGTGCATGGGCAAGGACACAGTGCATGGCAGGTCTGGTGCATGGCAAGGATGCAGGTACATAGCAGGGTCTGCGGTGCATGGCAATGGAGCACAGGGCATGGCAAGAACGCAGGTGCATGGCAGGGTCTGGTGCATGGCAAGGACACAGCATTCTAGCAGACAGTAAGTAGACGGAGGCCCTTTCCGCCCCGTGTTCCCGTGGAGCGGTTGCTCCTGCTGGGGAGCAGGGGCTGCCATCCCTGCATCCTCCGCTCCTTCGTGCCCTGCCCGCCCCTGCTAACATATGTGCAAAAGGATCATCACTCGGCAAACTCCAAAGAATAATTGCTGCTACAAGTCATGGCTCACCTGAGAGACAGTATTTCATTGAGGGAAATTACAGGAAAAGTAAGAAAATGCTATTATAATAATGCCATTAATACCAGGCCCTCAATTATCCCCACAGTACAGAGTTTTATGTGGTCTGGTTAAAACAAAAGACTTGCAAAATAATCTGGTAGAGCCAACATTTTAGCCATATTCTCTCTCTGTCTCTCTCCCTCTCCCCCCACCGCCCCCCCCACACACATCTTTTAAGAAACAAGAGGTAAAAGCAAGATCTAGCCATTCTCTTTTGGTTTTTTTTTTTTTTTTTTTTTTTTTGAGACAGAGTCTCACTTTGTTGTCCAGGCTACAGTGAGTGCCGTGGCGTCAGCCTAGCTCACAGCAACCTCAAACTCCTGGGCTCAAGCAATCCTCCTGCCTCAGCCTCCCGAGTAGCTGGGACTACAGGCATGCGCCACCATGCCCGGCTAATTTTTCTATATATTTTTAGTTGGCCAATTAATTTCTTTCTATTTATAGCAGAGACAGGGTCTAAGAGGTCCCCGGCTGGGGCTTCAGGGTGCGATTAGCCCAACGCGGAGTTGCCTGTCTGGCGGAGGCGGAGGACTTCATTCTGTTTACTTCACGTGCGGTGGGACCGTCGTCACAAACCGGCCAGAAGGACGCATTTCTGGAGCCGCAGGCAGTGGCTCAGCGAGCCCGGAGCCAGGAGGTTCATTCCACAGCGCCGTCCTGAGCCCCTGCTTTTATTTCTTCACGCCTTTCCTTCTCTGTCTCTAGCTTTCTTTTCCCGAACTCCTGTGTTTCCACAATGCTAAAAGTTTGCCAAAAAACGTTGCTGCCACCTGGAATCTTATTAATCTCAGCTCATCTTCCTTTTCCTCCCCTTACCCTCCCGTTGCTTTCCGTGCATATTTAAGTTCTTGCAGAGAGAGGGCGCCGGGGTTGGTGCAAAGGCCCTGGGGTTTGGTGTCAGACTCACCAGGTTTGAATCTCTGCTTGCCCTCCTAGCTGGGTGACCTCAGGTGAGTTATTTAACTTCCACGAGGCTCAGTTTTCTCATCTGTGAAATGGAGACTGTGATATCCATCTCTTAGTTGTGAGGGCTGCATTAAAGAAAATGTGTAATGTTTTAAAAATGGTTTTTGGTACATAGTTTGTATTATTCAATGAGTGGTGTTTCCCTTTTTATTCTCTTGGTTTTTTGGTCATTTTCTGTTAAATATTTCAGGAAAAGCTTTTTTTTTTTTTTGAGACAGAGTCTCACTTTGTTGCCCAGGCTAGAGTGAGTGCTGTGGCGTCAGCCTAGCTCACAGCAACCTCAAACTCCTGGGCTCAAGCAATCCTCCTGCCTCAGCCTCCCGAGTAGCTGGGACTACAGGCATGCGCCACCATGCCCGGCTAATTTTTTCTCTATATATTAGTTGGCCAATTAATTTCTTTCTATTTATAGCAGAGACGGGGTCTCACTCTTGCTCAGGCTGGTTCGAACTCCTGATCTCGATCTATCCGCCCGCCTTGGCCTCCCAGAGTGCTAGGATTACAGGCGTGAGCCACCGCGCCTGGCCTAGGAAAAGCTTTTGATGAGGAGTAAGAGATTCAGAGATAGTTAGGATGCACTGTAGTTACTATTCCATTATAGTCACTATCCCAACTATCATCTTTTGTTTTTTTAGAGACAGAGTCTCACCATGCTGCCCAGGCTAGTCTCAAACCCCTGGCCTCAAGCAATCCTCCCACCTTGGCCTCCCAAAGTGCTGGGGTTATAGGCATGAGCCATGGTGCCTGGCCCCAACTGTCATCTTTGATCTTGGTCTTCAGGTGTCTGTTACCAAGGATCTGTAGGGGGTGAGCAATCCAAGCCGAGGTGGAAGAAGACGGGATCAGGAGGAGGCTCTAAGTAGAGCCCTGTGGAATTCATCTGGGGCAACATAGGCCACTCAGTGTTGCCTTCTGGTTGGGGGCTTGCGCTGCCCCCACCACTTGCGTCGGAGTAGTTATCGGTTTGATGGTCCCGGAAGGCAGGCTTGTAGCCAGCAGCCCCTGCGACATCAGAGAACTGGAAAGGCCAACTGTGCTTGTTGCAGCTGTCCTCAGTAATGGTTTGTTCAAACATGAGGCATTTAAGGTGTAGGGTCCTCCGTTGGCGACGGTGCAAGAAGAGCTCGAGGCGCTGCTTCTGCCCCACGCCACGCACTTGCCTGAATTCTCGCAGCTGCCGTCGGTGGACAAGCCGTCCCCTGCCACCCAGTCGCGTGGTTTGTCCTCGCTTCCCAGTCTGCGCTCCTGAAGGGCTCTGGGCACTCTGGTTCCCCTTCTGAAAGGTCGTGAGTTGCTCGCTCTCTCTCCAGACACGGAGCAGACAGCCCGCGCAGCAAGGGATCGGCCTGGGCTGGGCCTCGACGTGACGACGCCCGTGGCAGTCTCGGAGGTGCTCAGGAACCAGGGTGGGGAGCGGGCCCTCAGAAATACGTCCCTGACGCACCCAGGACATGTAATTCCTCGTGGGAACACATCATCACCACATGGAGGAGAGGGAGAAGGAATAGCCTGGAACAAACCGGAAGGAATGGGCAAAGGAGACATCTGTCACCCACATGCAATCAGTAGTATGGCAATGAACAAGATCCCTCGTGGTTGCTCTCTGAGAGGTGGCCTCTGATTCTTTAGATTGGAGAACGCAGCTTATTATGAATAATGTTATTTTTGTTGGAATTTCCATGTAACTTTATCAAACAAGAGTGTCATAGTAGTCAACCACAGATGAAAGTCACTGGTCTAAAGTCTAACTAGGATCTAAGTCTAATAGGATCAAAAAGATCAGCTGCAGAAACTTCAGTGAAAGCAAAATATGAGCCATACAAACCTCTGAGCCCCTAGCTCAAAGTCATGAATGGAGGGACGGCTGGCTTGCCCACCTCAGAGTCCCTCAGCTGCCAGAGGTGGAAACTCTGTCCCACAGAGGGTCCTGTGAAGTTGTAAAGCCACCTGGACCCCCAACGGGAAGCTCAGCCCCAAGATCAAATTTGAAAAGAATATGTGATGACACAGGAGAAATACTTATAATTTTATATCAAGTGGAAAAATCAGACAAAAAATTGCATACAGTGTGACCTCAACTGTGTAAAACATATATATATGGGAACGATAATAGCAAGCAACACACTAAATATTGCCAGTGCTTTTTGTAGATCACTAAGACTGTAAGTTTTTTCTTCCTTGGCAAGAACTTCATGATTGCATGAGTAGAGGAGTGTTGCATGAGATTCTCCCCAATTTCTTTCCCTTCCAAAGAATGGAAATTGGGCCAACACTCACCTATGCCTAACCATAAGTTATTGGATGTTATTGTTTTGGTCAAGACTGAAATAACCTTTCAAGTTAAAAAAAAAAAAAGTAATTAAAAAATTAGCGCCAGGAGTGGTGGCGCTCACTGTGGTCTGCTATTCAGAAGACAGAGGTGGGAGAATCGCTTGAGCCCCAGGAGTTCAAAGTTGCAGTGAGTTTACGAGAAAGCCACGGCATTCCAGCCTGGGCAACAGCCCAAGACCTGTCTTTAAAAGTAAAAATAAAACGTGAGTCGATTTCTATTAACATATTAAATAAAGAATAATATAATTAGTACTTGACTATGGCAAACAACTAAGGTTTAGGAAACTCTACATTAGAGTATTCATCTAAAAAAAACTTAAACATATATACGAATGTCTGATTTGGTGAGGGGTAATGCATTTTCACCTCTTGAAATTCCTATCCCAAAAAGGGGTAGCCAAAGAGAGGGCCACACAGAGAGGCAGAGCCCCACAAAGAGCATGTGGTGGTCCAGACCA